TTTCTGACGCTATGGCTGTTCTCCATATTAAAACTCTTAAATGTGAGAAGACTTCTCTTTCCTCAAAGAGACATTTATTTGGTTGAGTATTCCTTAAGTACCTCGCCTTTTGTGAGAAATAGATACACGCACATGCAGTATGAAGACAGGTGTGACATTAACTGTTCAGCTGTCTATGAGCAGGACCCTTTGGAAATTGGCAAGAGTCTGGAAATAAGACAAAGAGACATCATTGACTTGGACGATGAAGATGTTGTGGCAATAACCAGCGATTGTGAGGTGTACCAGGCCATCAGAAGGTACCACCAGAAGCTTGCTTCAAGGGAAGAGAAAGAATTCCCAATTGCCTACTCCTTGGTGGTTCACAAAGATGCCATTATGGTCGAAAGGCTTATCCGGGCTATCTACAGCCATCACAATATCTACTGCATCCATTATGACCACAAATCACCCGATACCTTCAAAGTTGCCATGAACAATTTAGCGAAGTGCTTCTCCAATGTTTTCATTGCTTCCAAGTTAGAGTCTGTAGAATATGCCCACATTTCCCGACTCCAAGCTGATCTAAATTGTTTGTCAGACCTTCTCAGGTCTTCAGTGCAATGGAAATACGTTATCAATCTGTGTGGTCAAGATTTCCCTTTGAAATCAAACTTTGAGCTAGTATCCGAGTTGAAGAGGCTCAATGGAGGAAACATGCTAGAGACGGTGAAGCCCCCTAACAGTAAAAAGGAAAGATTCACTTATCACCATGAACTCAGGCAGGTGCCCTATGAATATGTGAAGCTACCGATAAGGACCAATCTCTCCAAGGAAGAACCGCCTCATAACATTGAGATCTTTGTTGGCAGTGCTTATTTTGTCCTAAGTCAAGCATTTGTTCAATACATTTTAAACAATTCCCTTGTGAAAGACTTTTTTGCCTGGTCTAAAGATACGTACTCACCCGATGAGCATTTTTGGGCAACCTTAATTCGGGTACCAGGAATACCGGGAGAGATTTCTAGGACCTCCCAGGATGTATCCGACCTCCAGAGTAAGACCCGCCTTGTCAAGTGGAATTACCATGAAGGCCTTCTCTACCCCAGTTGTACTGGCTCTCACCTCCGAAGTGTGTGCATCTACGGAGCAGCAGAATTACGGTGGCTCATAAAAGATGGCCATTGGTTTGCTAATAAATTTGACTCTAAGGTCGACCCTGTGTTAATTAAATGCTTAGCAGAAAAGCTTGAGGAGCAACAGAAAGAATGGATCACTTTGTCTTCAGAAAAGATATTTATGGGTACAAAACCCACAGTCCCATCATGATAGCAGTATCATGAAGAAAGCATGTTGGGTGTCTGATAAATGGTGTTAATGTGGACTTGTTTACAGGCCCATGCTCAGTCCCATTTGAACGGAAGTCCGTTCAGAGTTTGAAAGGTGCCGAGAATTCTATGCCCGAGGGAAGATGGCCTGGCCTGGAGTTGTTGGGAATTTGTTGTTAGTTTTTGCTTATAATCTCACAGAGCTAAATGACAGATATGACGCATTCGATTAGGCAGATGTTTATTGTGCACCTATTGTATGTCGGGGGCTTTCGTAGAAAACTTAATTAGAATTAAATCTAAGTTATAACGAGTGACCTTGCGATACAGTGATTCACTGTAATCATACAACATCCTTAATAGCTTTTAGTTTCTTCACATAGCAACCAAAACTCTTGTTAGCTTTTGGAGTATTTGGTAATGATGTAATCATCCAAACCCCCATTTCAGAATAGTGCTTAAGTGCCGGCACCAACACATTTCTCAAATTTCATTTCCTAGGATTTTTTCTTAACCATTAAAGTACTAGGAGGAGAGGGTTAACTACCTCAGAAAGGCTCAAAGAATTGCCCGTTTGCCAAAGCATCATTTACTTTTTAGTGCATCACTTGTTCACTTTTCAGGCTCAGGGAGACTCCGTCGAGGAGTCTGTATAATGTACGAGAGGGCAGGCTG